TTGTCTTGTTGAGCTCCTCAAGAAGGAGAAGATCAAGATTCAGAGCCTTGAAGAGACATCTATTGAGGGCTCAACAGATTATGAAGAAACAGGCTGACGGGCATAGAAAGGACATCTAGTTTAAAGTGGGGGAGAGGGTGTTCTTGAAGCTCCGACCGTATAGACAGAAGATAGTCGCCAATAGGAGGAATGAGAAGCTTGCTCCAAGGTATTTTGGGCCTTATGAAGTGTTGGAAAAGATCGGAGCAGTGGCATATCGACTAAAGCTACCATCAACGGTGACTATACATCCGGTCTTTCATGTATCGCAGTTGAGAAAAGTCATTGGTGACTATACTGCCAATTCCGAGCTACCGGTGACACTTACTGAGGATTTCGAGGTGGTATTGGAACCCTTAGAACTGATGGGCGTTCGACAGAAAGAAGATGGAACTAAGTGTTGATCCAGTGGAAGAACCTTCCTGACTACGAGGCCACGTGGGAACCATACGAGAGGATGAAACATCAGTTTCCCAGCTTCCACCTTGAGAACAAGGTGGTTCTTTGGGAGCAGGGTAATGTTACGGAACCAACCAAACCGGCCAAGGAGGGGCCGGTCCAGTTCTATAAGAGGCGGGCTAAGCCGCCTCCTTGATGTATTTCCGCCCAACTTGTGGGCCCCCCTTGAGGCGGCAATAGGAGAGAGGAGAAGGAATTTTGAAATTAATTTATATTAGGGAAGTGGATTTAATTAATTAAAAGATTTGATATCTTTTGTATTAATTAAATAATATCTTATATTATGAAGTTTTTAAGGAGGTGGAGAGGGCTATTTGAAGGGGATGAAGGGACTAAGGTAGGTATGCTTGATTATTATTCTCTTGGAGTCTCTTGGATGTCTTGGGCTCTAGACTTGGTGTCTAGAGATTGGGAGAGAACGATCCTCCTCTCGAATAGAGGATCAATTGTATCTTGTTTTATGTTTGTTTTGCTTTATCTTATATAATCAAATCTATTGTTTTGAGTTGATTTCATTAGTATTATTTTGTTCTTTATCGCTGTTTTACCAATTCATTGTTAGGGTTGCTTGCGAACTCAAGTATTTCCGATAGGATTACTTGTGAACCCAAGTATTTCATATCATTCACACAACCCGATGGCCTTACTATTGAAAATTAGCTGATGAGTGTGAGAGTGAGAGAGAGAGAGAGAAAGAGAGAGAGAGAGGGAGAGAGAGATTGAGGTAAAAAGCTCTGCCATGGCCATTTAATTAAATAGAACATACATGTCACATGGGATCAAAGGACTTTAAATAACCATCAAACAAAATGTGAAATTGCCAGAAGTAGTCAACTTATGTTGCACCGATACACCTATTTATAGAGGCATGCAGCATTGAATAAGCGCCCGATACGGCTAGGACACGTGTCGGATACGACAATGAAGTATCCGATCAAAAAAAAAAATTAGGACGCACGTATCGGATACATGTGCCCTAATAAAAAAAACCGCAATTACCTAACGTGTGAACCGTTGAAGCCGTATATCATTACCGCGAGTGAGTTAGGGCATTTTATTTTCGGTTTACGCGAGCAAAAGGCGAGGGGCGCATTAGCGAGAGAAAGCGACATTCTCGTCAGAGGGAAGGTGACAGGCTATTGAGCAGGAATCAACGGGCTATTGAGTAGGAGACGTGCGTGTTAGGCGAGCAAGAAGGTGACAGGAAGAAATGGGCTCGTGAGCAACGAGACCACCAAACGTCCTTCATTTCTTCGTCTTTGTCTAAGGTTCCTTTTCTTCGTCGTAGTCTTCACGCCCGTCCCGCTCGTTGCCTATGAAGGCCCATCTTGAGGGTTTATTTTCTTTGATTTAGGGTTACCGTTCTTCATCTTCACGAGCAGAGTGTAGATACATGAGCATAAGGCGTACAACAACTCTACAGGCATGTTGCTGAAAATTTAAATTTTTTTATTTTTTCCATCAGCTTCTCATCATTTTTCTATTAAGTTTTCTATGTTGAAAATGAAACAAGTTGAGTGTATTGCAATCTTTTTTTTTAATAAATTCTGCATTATTTTTTCATTGTCCACATCTCTATTTACATTTTTCATTGACAAATAAAATAATTTAAAGTGTATTTATATTTCACTGACAGTTTTCATTTTTCTATTATGTTTTCTATGTTGACAGTTTTCTTGATTAGAATTAGACTTCATAATTATCAATTGAGGCAATATAAATTGTAGTACAAAAGATGTGGTTTGTTTGGATAAATAAAATTGATCTGTTTGGTTACTTATTAAAGTATTGGTTTAATTACTAGGTAAAATTATATATAGTTTAATTTATCCAAAGTCAAATCGAATTGATCAAATTAAAGTTTAGTTTTGATGAAGTTTGTTTGAAAAATAATTTGATTGGCTTGATTTCAATTAGGTGACTTTAAGATAGAAATGATATTTTAGAGAATGTTGCAATGGGTGCAAATGAGTTTAAATGAGTTTGGGAAATTGTTTGAAAGATTAAGCTTTGTGTGCAAATAAGTTTGCTTTAAGGAGATAATAAAATGTGGGATGTTGCTAGAGATTGATTTGAATCTTTGATATGAGAATATTAGAAATAGCTAATCTTTCACTTGATGAGCCTGAATTGGAAGCTATTATATTTATTGAAGATGATATAGAAGTTCAAAGACAAACCACTGAAGAAGCTATTACTATCATTCTTTCTATTGCATAGTTGAAACTTCATGTGCTAGACAATTTATATTTTTGTTTTTGTACTAGACATTTACTTGTGTTCAAACACAAGGTGGATTGACCAAGTATTTCCCTATTTCGGTTGGGTTACATCAAGGATCAGCTTTAAGCCCATATCTTTTTGCTTTAGTCATGGATGTTCTCACTAGACATTTGCAAGAGGATGTACCTTGGTGTATGCTTTTTGCTGATGATATTCTTCTTGTTGATAAGACTAGAGAGGGAGTTGAAGGTAAACTTGAATTATGGAGGTCAACTTTAGAGTCTAAAGGTTTTCGCTTGAGTAGATCTAAAACGGATTATATGGAGTGTAATTTTAGTAGTAATAGACCTAGTGAGGGGATTGTGACTTTGGGCGATCAAGTCATTAATAAGAGTATATGTTTTAGATATCTTGAATCTATTGTGCAGAGTGATGGTGAAATAGATGGGGATATTATCAGCAGAATTCAAGTTGGATGGTTGAAGTAGAGGAATGCATCGGGCTTGTTATGTGATAGAAATGTACCTCTCAAACTTAAGGGAAAATTCTATAAGATAGTAGTGAGGCCTACAATGCTTTATGGTGCCGAATGTCGGCCATTAAAAGAGAAGCATAATACTAAGTTAAGTGTGGCAGAGATGAGGATGCTCATGTGGATGAGTGGCTTTACCCTTAGAGATAGGATACGAAATGAGCATATACGTGAAAAGGTTGGAGTAACTCCAGTAGAAGATAAGATTAGAGAGAGTCGCCTTAGATGGTTTGTTCACATAAAACGGTGGCCTTCCGATGACCCGGTTAGGAGAGTAGAGGTATTAAATTTGACTTATGTTAAGAAAGGTAGGGGTAGACCTAAAAAGACTTGGTTAGAAAATATTAGGAATGACCTTTCTTTATTAGATTTAAACGAGAATTTGACTTTTAATAGGACACAATGGAGAAAAAGGATTCATGTAGCCGACCCCGCGTAGTGGGATAAAGGCTTGATATTATTGTTGTTGTTGTACTAGACATTTAATGTTTACATTAATTTTGATATTATAAGCTACAAGGCTACAAATGATGTTGCTTTCATTTTTCTTTATCATTCCAAATATTATACTTTGATTGCTTTCTTAATTTTTATGTATGATTTATATATTATAATGACGTGTCCGCGTCGTACTCATATCCTGTATTTTTAAAAATTGGTGTCTCCCGTATCCGTATTGTGTCGTATTCGTGTCACCGTATCCGTATCGGTGCAACATAGCAATCAACTGAAGCATCTCTAGAAAACTCAAGCTTCCACTACACACTTTATAACATGCAATTAAATGTACAATCCTGTAACAGATATATCACAAGTTTTTATAAGTCATAAAAGACAAAATAGTCAAGAAATTTTATTTAAAAAACAAATTATACATTTGAAGGCACATTAACTGAGAATATTCAAAACTAAAGAAAAGCTAAAACTTGAGCATAAAAAAATGTTCTTCATCAAAAGACCAAGGGAACCAATAACACCATATCTACTAAAAAGATAATCCATCGCATAAACAGTATCCACGCCAGTAGCTGTTTTCTTCAATAGAACTTGCGACAACATCAACAAATGAATATATGAAAGAGCTTCCTCCTAGCAAAGACTTATCCATTATATTTGTACAAAGAAAATGAACTGTTGGTAATGAGTAAGAAGTCGATAAGAAGTCGATAAATTTCCCAGAAAAAGAAAATATTTGATATCATTTTATTAAATACTGCAATATCAGTTTTTATTCTAGTGTAAGTTATGGACTCTTGGGCAACTAGTTGAATGCATAGGATAGCCCCCGCTATTTCAAATGCCATAAACATAATGCAGTCTTTCTTTCCTAATCAGCTCATACATTTGTGGCTACGTATAAAATAGGATTAATAAACAATCAAGTTAAGAATGAATTCAGCTATCTTTGAAAACTGGGATCTGCAAAATAAATTGTTGATATAAGATTATTATTCATACCAGAATTTTGACAATCTTTTTTTAAACAAAAATTAACCAAATTGCTTGAGTAAAAGATGTCTATTATCTATATAATAGTGGCACGAAATTCCATCTATTGCACTATTTCTCTAACCTTCAGGAGCTCCAACCACTCAGTTTGTTTACAGCACTATTCATTGAAACAATAGGATTCAAGTCAGTTAAGCCGCAAGAAGAATCAGCTAGGTTCAAAACACTATATGAATCAGAGTTGCATGAGAAATAGTAAATCTAGGAAAAAAAAAATAGTCAAAAAAATATAACTCACTTGTGAATCCAGATTAACTTCAGCACCAGCACCAAAAACAGCGTCACCTTCCTCCATTGCTCCCATTGCTTTAACTGCTTTCAGTTCCAAGTCATCAGGCACAAGCGCTTTTGCATGCATTGCTTCCTTAATCCTTCTTTGTTGCTCTGTTAGTACAGCTTCACGTTTTCGATTCTGGAAATGCAGGTGAAGTTGAGTATTTAAATAGAAGCATAATACATGAACTCTAAGCTGCTGCATTCTTAATTTGAGATGGTTCATGGATATGGATGTATAATTTTATACTTAATTGGAAAATAGAATGTAAGGATGCTTCTCATGGCTTTGTGATTGAAGAATATTTTGATGCCCTCAGAATATATCATAAAAAGCAATGAGATCAGGCCAACAAGCATACTGTAAGGATATGAGTATCAGGCAGGTAGCAAAGAAGGGGGAAATGAGTAAAATAAGCACGATAAGAGAATGCTGAGATGAGCATGCCAAAAAAAGAATTTTGAAATATGAACAAACAAATTAATAACAAAGAAAGTTAAACAGCAAAATACTCCTCACTCTATCAAGTCAATGCATTTCTAACATCATTTCTTAGTTTTACATAATCAAAACATGTGATATCATCCCAGCACTTGCTCGAACATTAAACTCTTATGTGTAGCTAGTAGAACAGACAAATGTTTTAACTCTGTTGCTATGAGAACTATTAAGTAGGCAAATGATTGGAGGAGTATCTACCGGGTACAAGTTAGAAGCAATACAAAGTTGTACAAATTAATATGGCTAGAAAATATTTATAATTCCAAATATAACACCCACTATGATTATTAAATAGGACTGCATGGTAAAGATTTCAAATGGCACAAATCCCATGAGAGAAGTGAATGTGTTTGAGATAAAAGAAATAGATTGAAATAGTCTACTCACTCCCAATAAATTGCACAGAAACGCACCAGTACAAAAAGAAAAGATTAAATAACAGTTAACGTACAATGGTTAGATTTAACAAAGTTAACCTGCCTAGAATAATATATTTGAAAAAGAAATAGCAAACTACCAACAATACCCATATTGTTATTAATAGAATTGATTCACAAAGGGCTGGTATTGCCAAACAAAAACCATTTGGCATTTGGATCATTATCACAGGTCACTACAGACGGGAAATCAGGATTACATTTTCTTTGGTTCAGTCTTCAACTCTTGACGGTAAAGGAACCAAGTTATTGCACAGTTAACTAAATTGCCTTTAGAGGGGAAGGATTGACACTGTTCAATATGGTTATGAAAGGCTTCTGTTGGAGACTATAATTAATGCCTGCAGTAACTAAGTGTAGTTCTTCCATGCATGTAACGAAATTAAGATTCAGTACCAAGTCAGCCTGGTCTTCTTCAGGATCAATGGCTTCCTCATCCTCATCGCATTGCAGCAGCTCAGGGGAGAATGAGCCAGTTTCTCCCTCTGGTTCGTTCTCTGATTCATCCATTTCAATCTCAACAAAAGCTTGTTGATGATCTATAAAAGAAACATTTATCAGCCATACGCCTTAAACTGAATGAAAAAAAAAGTAATAAATGGAAACAAAAAGTCATACCCTCCACGACTTGTACATTATCCACCTCAATTGGCTTCATAGCTTCAGAGTTTTCTAAACCTCGTTCGACCTTCACAGGTTGCTCTAGATGCAGGAGATGCTTTCTCAAGAGATTGGCATGAATTTCCCTCAAACAAGCCTGCATTCAATCATAAAATAGACATATAAATATAATTAACTCTTCAATAATAAGTAAATATACTTTATCTGAGTCATTATATCCTTTTCTATAACTGTGGCTACTCATTTATGGCTGTAAAAGAATTATCATTAACCGCAATGGACCTTGATACAAGCAAAATATGCAAGATGAGCTGCAAAGATGGCCCACTACTTGTACAAGTATTTAAGAATAAAATATGCTATGTAATATGCCATATACGAAAGGGTTCAAGGGAATTTTTTGCATGGGTCCTTTTTATTTCAAGAATATGCAGCTAAAACCGCATGCTTATTATAATGGAAAACTATTTCCTTCCCATCAACAATCCAGCATCTAAAATTTTTTAATTATTCAAAATCAAGCAATAAGATTTAATGCAAATTTTCAGAATATCATAAGGTCAAGTACGTTATAACCATGAGGATTTCAATGGGTAAATAATTGCAAGTGCGCATGTCCTGCAAAATGAATTGTAAAGCACAACACTAACTCTAACCAAGAACAGTCACCTTTTGAATATATATATGTATATATATATATATATATATATATATATATTAACAGTCACCTTTTGCATATGATTCTGTAACAAATCCAAAAGAATCAAGCTCAGAAGAAATATGGAATATTTTATCAATTCACGTGACAAGCTCACACATCATACACAAAAACTAATAGATAACAGGTAACGAAAGCGCACAACCACAAATTATCATAAAGATCATAGATAGCAACTTTTACCTTCGCTTTGTAAATTTGAAGACGTTTTATAACAGCTTCCCAGTATTCAACAACCTTAGCAGTACCAGACCGCATCTGTAACTCGATGTTTTCTTGCATTTTTTCCAATTCGACAAATGATTTGCCTTCTAAAAGTCCCTTGACATCTGATTCAATGCTTGAATGTAAACCCCTTTCTTCAGCAAGAATGTCAGCAGGTGGTTCCTCGCCACGCACCCTAGCACGATCCAGTGCATCCCTTTTCCTAGCCTCAGCTAGCTCCCAGTTGCATACTACCATTAAGGCCTGCATGAAATATGTTTTTATAAGATGCACTGAATTATGAGGTATATAAATCCCCACCAAAGCATTTGAGACATTCAAAAGTAATATAAAACTATTCCCATGTTCTACTTTTGAACATAAAAAACAAATAGAACAAAACATTTGATTGCATAAATTTGGTAGCAAAAATAAAAGTCTCACTGCATTAGTCACCAATTGAAGATAATCTTGCAATAGTGTAACGGGATAAAATAATCCTCTCATATACATAACTAGGTTTGTCTAGCTGCAAGTGATGGGGTGTTGGGAGCCCTTTCTCTTTTGACAAGTCGCAACAATCGCCTAAACCTCCTCCCTAACTCAACAGCTCAAAGATACAAACTCAAAGAAGAATGTTTTAGTAAGAGTTTAGCAACGGATTCTGGGAAAGACTGAGGTATTTTGAAGTTCAGACCAAAAATAGTAACTTCATAAGTTCATTTGTGAAAAATAAAAAGTCTTTGTTTTTTTTTTTTTGGGAAGAAATACAATGGCATTGAAGCAATAGAAAAGAAAGATACAAACCACCCTATGTGATAGAAATCCTATCACAATCCTTCATAATCAAGTCAACAACACTTGAAGGAATTTCACCATAAATAAAAGTATCCCAATAAAAATCACCTAAGAGGGCATGACTATAACAAACATCCGCCACTCTATTACCCTCCCTTGACACAAAATGAAAATTTACATTATGAAAACAATCTAAAAAAGAAAACTCCATTTTTGCATAACATTATTCCGATTTCTCAGCACTGAATTCTGCAAAAGTTCCATCACGTTGATATTGTTACCTTCAATAATAATGCCATGCTTATCGTTCATCCACCCTTGAATAAAATCCTTGAGATTGAAAACAGCAATTAATTCCAATACCGATATGACACAACGAAGCAACTTCTTTCCATAAGCCATAAGAAATATGCCTTTATGATCCCGCAAAACATCTGCTATACTTGCCACATTAGACTGCAACAAAGAAGCATCCACATTCAACTTAATCCAATTTGTATGTGGGGGGATACCAAATATTAGACAGCATAGGGTGCTGATTAGTATCTCAGTTCTTGCAAATAGGAATAAATAGAGGTTGTAATGAACAAGATAAAATAGAAGCTGTTGATGAACTAGGACTATGGACCTTCAAACCATGCGTGAAGCAGTTCCTTGCTTTCCAATTGTGATAAACAACAGATAGATATATTCTAACGAAACTCGGATTAAATGAAGCCGCCTTCTCCAACTCACTCCAGCATTGGGACAAATTAATAAACCTTAGTAAATGAATTCCCCAGCAGTCCAACAAATGAAAACTATCACGTAATTTCTTACAATGAATAGCAATATGACTGATTTCTTCAACTTCAATACAACCTCTCGGACATAAACAAGATTCACGGATATTCCTATAATTCAACTAGTAGTAAGTAGGTAATGCATTATTCAAAAGCCTCCACCAAAACAATGTTACTTTAGGAGTTAATTTCAACTTCTTAATCCATTTGACATTAAAACAGACATCAACATTATTATTAGCAGCCTGGAATGCCATCATAGCAATTGACTTGCCATAATTAATAGCAAACAGCTCCAATTAATCTCGATCCAAATCCTTAGCTATAGGAATACCAAAGATTAACTTTGCCAGATCTTTAGAAAACAAATTATTCAAAACCAGGTTATTCCAATCTCCATTTTCATCCAAAAGAACGGAAACTGAATTATTATGCAAATTATGTGTATTGACCATAGTAGGCCATTTATTCAAACCTCTATCCAATATCCCAAGTATCATTAAGAATACTAATTGATTCCCCATTTGAAACTCTCCATCCAACAATATGTTTTAGCGAACAAGCTCCATCTTTGATAATGCGTGACGTCGCAGATGAGCATCTCCTGGTATCTTCCTTCCAAATATCATTTCCATATTTAGCTACAATTAGCTTACTGAGCAAAGAATTCTGGTTTTGAATAAAATTCCATGCAATCCAAGCTCTAAGCAAGCCTTGTCTTTCAACAACTCCTTGAATACCAAAGCCTCCTTGATTAACTGATTTACACAGATTATCCCAAGAAATATAGTGCATTCCTCTCCAGCCTTGTTCCTTATGCCATAAAAAGTTCCTACAACACTTATCAATGTCTTTGAGAATGCTCTTTGAAACCAACGAATGAGTTATGATGAATAGAGGAACCGAAGAGTACACAGTTTTAACCGGTAATATTTTTCCAGCCAAAGACAACAATCGTGACCCCCACATATTAAGCTTATTCATAGCTTTATTTAGAACAATTTGATAATCAGCCAACTTTAACCTTCTAGTAGCTAATTTAATACCAAGATAAAAGAATTCGTCCACTTTATGATAGCACACAATTCTTTTTAGCTTCCTCTGTCTCCTGCGAGAAATAGAATTCCCAAACATAACCACCGATTTGTTCTGATTAATCCTTTGTCCCGTTCACCTGCAATAATCTATCATAATCCTATTAATGCTTTTTGCATTAAACAAAGAAGCATCAGCTGTTATCATCACATCATCGGCAAATAAAAGGTGAGAAACCTTAGAGATGTTGGGTGCAATCCTTGAACCCCACTCACACCCTCTATAATGAAAAAATTTAGACAGCAATTCAGAACAGAGAATGCATAGGCCCGGAGAAAGTGGACATCCTTGTCTAAGCCCACATTCTACATAAATCCAATTACTTCTTTTCCCATTTATAATAATGGAAAATTTCGGATGAATAACACATTGGATAAATATCTTAATAAACATTTCCGGAAAGCCCATAATCAGGAGAACCTACTGCAAAGTCTCCCAACACATGCTATCATAGGTTTGTTCCATATCAAGCTTGAGCAACATAAACCCTGGTTTAGCTTTTGAAAATCTTAGCTTATTTACAATCTCATGGGTAGAAAACAATTATCTGAAATAGATCTACCTAGAACAAATGCCACTTAATTTTCAGAGATAATACTTGGAAGACATCCCTTCAATCTATTCAAGATCATACATGCCACCATTTTGTAAATAGTTTGACATAAGCTAATCGGCCTAAACTTAGTAATATCAGTAGCATTTTGAACCTTTGGTATCAATAGCACCAACGTCTCTTTCCAGCTTTCCGACATAATTCCCAATTTAAAGAAATTGTCCACCACATTCCATACCTCGACATGAACATGCTCCAAAACAATTTGAAAAAATAGGAGTTCACACCATGATTTCCGGGAGATTTATTGTTGTCCATTTTCATAACAGTGGAGATAAGATCCTGCTTCTGAAAACAAGCAACTAACATCTGCTTTTGATCTTCATTTAGTATACAATCTGCATTAAACTTCGGCCATCCAGACAGAGAACAGCTCCTGCTTTTCCACTTGTTTTTAAAAAAATTCTTCACAAACTTCCTGAATACCTTCGGGGTCATACACAATATTTCCATTCAAATCTTTTATTTGATGAATCTAGTTCTCATTTCTTCTAGCATTAGCAAAGTTATGAAAGAACCGAGAGTTATTGTCTCCTTCATCCAACCATTATGTTTTAGACCGCTACCTCCACCAAGTCGAAAGTCTAGCAAGAGTAACGTTTAGCTCTTGAACTTTCTTTCTTAACACAATGAACTTCTCCGGACTAAGACCTTGGATACTCTCCTCCTCTTGTAAAGACAAAATATCAATTTGCAATTCAACCTTCAACTTGTTTAAATCTTTAAGTTTCTTCTTGCTCCAATAAAAAATACTTTTAAGAGATCTAGATACTTTTCTTTTAAGGATATCAGCAGCAATCTCGTAGTCACTCTTCTCCCATGCTTTTTTAACCACACCCCAAGATGCTTCATAAGAACACCAAACATTTTCAAATTTGATAGACTTCTGGAAACAAATAGTATTATTGAAGAGATTGAGAAGAATAGGACAATGGTCCGAAGCAACTCAAGGCAAACGTTTAATAACTGCAAAAGGAATATGACATAAAGCTTTAGAATTTAGACAAATTCTATCTAATCTCTCCCAGATCCGAGCAAGCCCCACTTTGTTATTACACCTCCAATAAACTTAATGTCATGATAGTCATTTCTACTTAAAAAATCATTCATCTCTGGTGGCCCTCGATAGAGCATTAAATCTTTTACTGCCTTTTTTTCATTTTAGGAAAGAATACAATTAAAATCACCACCAATAATACACGGTCTCCCATCAGAAGAGTAGTCTTCAATCAGCTCCCACAGTTTTCTCCTTTCATGCACATCCTTATTATCATAGACTATAGAAATAGTCTAAGTAATCCCATTCGGAACTCTTAAGTTACAGATGATACATTGAGTAGAAGAATTAAGAATAGTAAAAGAAGAGATATCCCTTTTCCACGAAGCAAGACTACCACCAGACGTTCCATTTGCATTAAAATGAAAGAAATCCCAACCACTTCCAACAATTCTATTAACTTCAATTCTATTCATAGACTCTAATTTAGTTTCCACCAGAACCACAAAGAACACACCATTATCATTGATCACACTCCTCAAATAATGGGAAACTTCTCTTTTCTTAGCTCTCCTACAATTCCAAATACACAAATAATACATTAAGAAATGAATGGGGATTGGCCACCAGCACCTTCAAGCTTTCCAACCCCTCTCCTACCTCAAAGAGAACTCTTCAGAGGTCCAAATTTCTTAATATCCTTCTTCAAATGGGCAGAATATAAGGTGGAGCAATTCTTAGAATTAAAAGCACCAATCTTCCTAGACGGATCATCCTCAGAATTATTAAAAACAGAAAAATCATTAGAACATGAATTTGATACCTCCTCTTCGTAAGGAACATCTTCAACATTCTTATCTTTAAACAGAGAAGAATGATCTTTAACAGAAGCCTCCTCGTCAATAACCTCAGCTAAAATACCAGGATTATCGTCAATTCCATCAACTGCAACACCAACAACTACATCAGCGGGAACATATTCACCTTCTTCAATAGGAGTAGGATCAACAACAGGTCCATCTTTCCCACTTAAACCCACTAGCACTTGTATTGACTCCTTACAACGATCATCTGACATCTCATCATTCTCAACAGCTACACTCAGGACATTTTCTTCCATCTTCCTATTAATATCCATAATAGAATTTGGCTCATCATTTATCGCAACCTTCTCCAGGGAAGCAAACGGCTTGTCATCATATAAACCTTTGGCAGTAACTTTTGACTTCTCAACAGTCTTCACACCTGATGGTGCAGCATAAGACTTGGATTTATTAAAATAGTAGGATTTTTTCCTACCATAATTTACATGAATCCAAGGACCATATTCATCACCCTCCTTATCAACATCCTTATCTTTAGCAGAATCAGAGTCAGCTTTGTTACTCCCACCTCCGTTAATCTGATTAGCATTATTATGAGCTAACTCAGAGACTTTAGTAGATTTCCCAATATCTGATGACTCGGCCTTCCTTTGATTGTCTACAACACCAAAAACTTGTGAATTGTGTCCAATTTTACCACATCGAAAGCACAATGAAGAAATCTTTTCATATTGAACTTTTTGGAAAAATCGTCTGGAGCTTCCTTCAACCCATACGCCCTGAGGAAGCAATTCATCAATATTGATATGAACACAAATTCTAGCAAACTCTCTTCTTCCACAATTAAACATATTGCCATCCAAATACAATGGTGTACCAATCTTTGATGCAATTCTAGCAATATTGATCTCATCCCAACAGAATAAGGGTAGTTGTTGCAAACGGATCTAGACTGGAGAGAACAAATTTTCCATAGTCAAAATAGAAAAATTCGGAGTCCATTCTTCCATACCAATGATATGACCACCTACAAACCAAGGTCCACCATTCAAAACTGCTTCCTTAACCTTAGTAGAATGAAATGAACACAACATCCATTCCATTCACAAGTTAGATGAAAAGCTCCTAAATGACTCCATTGTCTACGCAATTAAGTGCTTATGATAGAATAAGAGACTAATTTGTCAAAGATTTTGATAACAATTGAATTACAAAGTCTCAGAATATTAGATTTCTCATTTTCAAGCTGTAGCTTGACCGTGACTCCATCTTCAGTCATATCAACATTATCAAGAGGATTAACAATCCTAATATTCGGTGATTTTCTCTGGGCATTACCAACCACGCTAAGGATAATTGAAGCAATCATATTACAAACATCAGCACTATTAATAACAGGAACAACATCCACTCCATATGACATGGGAATACCACTATCTTTACAAAAACTTGAATTCACATTACCATCAACAGAAAGAACAGAGGAAGAAACGACTTGCGCAAAGGACGCAGGATTAACAACATCAAGAGCATTTTCAACACATTTAGAAAATCTATTGACTTTCAATTTTAATCCAGAAGAAGAAGATGCTTCGAACTAATTCTTCTAATATAAAACATCTTTATTAACGATTTTGTAACAAGGGAAATCAATATTCTTCATAATCAATCCTTTTCCTTTAATAGTGCAGCCTTCATTCCTTAGATAACCAATTGAATTAGTCTCATCAAGATGATCTCTGATAATCAAAGGAGCTCCCAACAAACGCCTTCGCTCAGGAACTCGAGACGAGAAAGGGTTGGTCGCCGGCGAAAGCCGCCAATCGTCCCCCACCATAACCAGGAAAGACGGGAAATTCAAAATCTCACGAGATTTTCTCTCACTAGAAATAAGATTTTCTCTCACTAGAAACGGGATGTTAAAAATAAAAAGTTGTTAGATCCATGAAAATGGGCTAGAAGAAGTGATAATGATCTAGAAATGCACGCTGGAACAACAAAAATATAAAAGCTCCCACATAGCAAACCTAAAATTCATCTACTAAACCTACTATATATCCCATTATATTTAAAATAAATGATCAAAAAGATAATTCTAAGGAATAGAAATTTATCCAAAATATTTTATTAATTTAAAATGGGCACATCAATACAAATAATTAGGCATGATGCTAGCTATAGACAAAGAAGGTATAAGGCCAGTTTTAAATTAATACTCCATGCAAGGAACTAGTGGATATTTAATTAAGGAATATCAAAGGTCAAACTTGAACCTTTGACCTCTAACTTGGGAACCAAGGCGAATATTGTTTGAACTAAAGCTCTTTGGTATGATAAAAGAAAATATTGATAATGATTATAATTAGTAAGAAATTCATTGGATACTAGGAGAAAGAACAAACAGCCAATGTAAGTCATATTTACCAAACTTAACATTCATAAAGGGGAATACTGTATTATGCTATCACAACTTTTATTTCCTAGCATTTATTTGTTATATACATGGTAAAATTCTAAAATTTAGGACAATCGATCTAGAAATGAAAACAACAATTGATAAGCTTTAAACTTGACATGCAAGCAAGATGAGTTAAATTGCAAGTTCACAAAACATACACTAGGTATTTTCGCTGCAGTAGTAAACTATAGTTTCTAACCATATTCCATGAAGAATAAAACTATTTATAATTATCGAATTATTTTGATAAGGTTGTAAAAAATATAATTAAGAAAAATAAAAATAAAAAAATAAAACTATTTATAACTATCTATTCTTCACAACAAAACCAGATGGATCAACCTTTCATTTAAATCTCGAGCATAATTGATTACTAATAGTTACTCCAGTCCTAGGTTAAAGCTTAATAATAATAAAAAAGGTTAAATCTTCATATTTATTTGAGGTCAAAAATCAAATTCTCCACTCCAATATTAGCTTCACCCGGAAAAAAGGAGATGATTATTTATAGAAGGTTGATACCGTTTCCATTACAAATCAAGGAATTCAGCTAGGCGTTATAAAAAACCTTAGAAGACAAACAACAGCAGGGCTCTGCTTAGATGGAGTGAACAGATAATTAGATCGATGAAAGCAAGAAAAAGAAATTTACCTCCCAAAATCTGATTCGAGTTTCTGTAGATCTGTCCATGTCCAGATACATTTTGATGTCATCCCAAAGTTCTTCCATTTCTCTAACTGTTAGCCCCTATATGGCATTTGTCAAAATGAAGGAAAACCACACCTTCAGTACAAATCACAGCTTTATGATAGATCAAAGCATATATATTCACTTGTAACCAAGAAAAAAATTCTCCACTGTACTGCATATGTTTAAAACTAAAAGGAAAGGCAAGTGATTCTTGAGCGGAAAGATGTTCTGGGGGTTGTTAGAACTTTAAGCTATGTGTAAGCATGTTGATGTTCATGCTACTAACCACTCAATGCCATGCCAAATCTCTCTGGTACATATCCTTTGCCACAATAAGGCAAGCCCAATATCAAAGATGTCGATAAAAAGCGTTAAAAGAAGTTTTGTAGACCAAAGAGAGAGGTGGCGAGGGGTTTGCAATAAAGAAATAAGAAAGTTTACAGTTAAGACGAGTAATAAGTGAAGAAAATTTACCTTAAAGACAGTGTAAGGCTCATTTATTTCGATGTCAAAATCATCTGAACAATCGAGATTCTTCGCAAGTATATCAATAGGTTTTACACGGCCCTCACGCAATCTAATCATTGATCTAAATTTACTTTGATCAAAATGGAACTGTCAACAAGAAAACAGATCAGCTATTGATCAAGAAGTAAAAAACATTCAGAAGATACGTAAAGGCAAAACAAAGAAATAAGAAAAAGGCAGATGAAAAGGCACAAAGTGACAATTCAGGTTGACAAGTGTCTAAGTAAAATGCATGCAAGCGCACATGTACTAGACTAAGGTGGAGGAATAGAATGGAAAAGAGATGGGAAAGCACAAATGCAATTCAGACCTCCTCTTCTTTCTTTTCCCAATCTTGAAATTCAGCCTTAGCACGTTCCCTTGCCAGCATGGCCTATCAGCACACAAAAGTTAGACATAACATACCACAACAGACCCATGATAACCATATAACTAATGATGGAATTCTCTGGATTAATAAAAGAAATCTAATAGCATGAATGTTCAAATTCTAAACAAACCATTTCCTCCTCATGTTGTGCTTTCTCAACTGCTCTTTCTTCTCTCCGTTTCTTCACTTTTTCAATTTCAGCCTACAATGGAGATACAATTATCAATACCATAGAAGGCAATAAGAGAAGCTACCAAAAAGTTCAAAAGGAAAACTGCATAGTGTTCACTTGCAGTTGACATCATTATCCAAAGAGTAAAAACACAGTAGATTTTAAAAGTTTCCTATGATGAGCAATTATATAAAACTATACTGAAACTTTGAACGCTAGAAAGACTGCAGGAAGAAGTTTAATTTTGTTGCAGGCCAGTAAACAATTTCCATCAACAAAGATGAGTGCCTACTAATGTTTAGTCAAGGATCACTAGCTTTGATTAAGAAATTTTGTTTGGTAAGATGGCAGCTGTTCTACGTTTCTGAGACCAGAGGCATCAACGGTACTTAGCGACTACCATGAAACCATTACTATTATTCAAATCATCAGTTAACATGGTTATAGCTGATCATAAGGGCTTAGCTTAATCAGTGAAAAATATACGTACAACTTTTAATGTTAATGGATGGGGGGAAAAAATATTATGATCACTATAAAGCTGTCCATGATGATGTTAGCACATTTTAATAAAAGTAGATCCTCCACTGTTTCAATATAGGATAAAGCTGGTGCTGATGATGTCATCACTAATCACAATACTTACAAGGTGAACATTCGACTGTTCACTATAATCTTATTTGATTTTCAAATTCAGAATCCAAATACTATAACTAATATTTCCACATATTAAAAGAAATGGTAAATGCTGTTCTCTTTATTCCAGCTATCAAGATTTCTCATTTTGTTTTATTTGGCTTTTTTTCAAAGCATTTGTTTTTTGGAATGCTGAATCTGCTGTCATATTTGGAAACCCATCTCATCCAAAACTAATGGTTTAAGCGGGGACCGGCTTTACGAGACCATTTCGGCAATACAGGCATGTCAAGATCAAAATATACACAGCAATTGCAAATACTTCACAATTAAAGTCTACCAGAATTTCCAAATCAATCACCAATACTGAAATAAAGGAACCTTGTTGTTACTCTATGAAGAAATATAGCCGACTGTAGTTGTTTTTCCATAGACACCGTACAATATAATGAGTCCAGCTCCTCATGAAAGATTAAAAATACAAACAATTCTTATTTCCCACCTTGTGACCTAAAGAGTGAAGAGGGGAAATGGAAATTAAAAAAAAAAGAGAAGATAAGAAGAGATATACAAGACAGAATTTGCAAGCCAAAATTAATTCTCTTTTCACCAACCTTATCAAGTTCCATCCAGCCCCCTTTTATAGAAGAGGAACCATTTGTACATTGTCAACATAAATGAACATAAACATTAAAAACATAAAACAAATACCAGACATGAACAATCTTATGAATATGAACATAAACATAACAAATGGTTTCATTACTTGACTTTCATTTTAAAATGGATTTGGTAGAGATGCCACTTGATCATTCTAATGTCTATTTTATCATCTAGACATCTACCCTAGGACTTGAAGTAATCACCTCAGGAGAGTTTGCAGCAAGGAACTCCGTAAGCATATTAGAAACCAGGTGACTCATTTGATCTTTGGAAATCCAAGAATTATCTATATGAGAAAGTATGATAAACATGCTCGATTCTTGCCCTGGTTGGTAAGTGCTTGAGAAGATAAAAGTTGGAATTGAGACTTCAAAGGAGCAAAGATCAAAGTTTGGGAGTGTCAACTAAAGTTGGTAGGATGCCCAATGAAAGGTTGAACTTAGCAGGAGTATACAAATTATTTTATTTTCATGGTTATTCAATTATTAGTATAAAATACTTGTATGTAATATACTATGTTGTGACGTGGATAGAAGAGATTAAACTTTTAAGGGAGGTGTTGTATAATTTTATAAAATTTTTTACCCAAACCTTCTGGCCTATTATCGATAAAATATTCAACAAGAGTGTTTGGTTGATAATTCGCTAAAATTTTTATGCTAGAAAATTTTGGCAAGCGGTGTTCATGATGATGCTCTTGAGCAAAATATTCATCAAAATGATTTTTTTTGGAAACTTTTGAACTCCAAAATTCATTTTTAACAAGTTTTTTAAATGGATGAACATCTATAAAAAAATCTACATAGTGTTGACTTCCAAAGATTTTCCTTGTTTTTGTGGATTTTTTCATTAAAAATTTACTATTTTTCTATACTACACTTTTTGGTCATATTTAAGCATAGATGGAAAAAACTAATTAAACCTTATGCTTGCTTTGAACATATGCAATATAGGAAAAATATTGATAAAATTATAAATTGAGTTTTATAATCTTCATCACATAAGCAAGATTATCATACTAATGATATGAGGATCATACTTGTTAACGGCGAATGGTGCACCATGGCGCACTATGGCGCAAAGGTCCTATTTTTGTTCATCTTATGCTTACTTTCGAGGTTAAGGGTGAAGATGTTCATGCTAGTTTGGCCAATTACGATATCTATCATTAGGGCTGCAAATGAACCGAGCCGAGCCGAGTATGTGAGTGTTCATGTTTGTGTTCATTTAATATCAGCTTGTTCAAGTTTGGTTCATGTTTGTTCGAGCTTTAGCGTTTGTGTTCATGTTTGATTCATTTAAATTAAGGAGTGTTCATGTTCGGTTCATGTTCAATTCATGTTCGTTCGTTTAGTGTTTATCGAGCTTGTTCGCGAATATATTTAACGAATTTTTTTAACTATCAAACAAACACGTTCATGAACATATCTATGAACAAACACATTTATAATAAAAGCAATTGTCTATGTAACAAAGATAATGATTATTTATATTTATTAATTCTATAGTCAAATATTAATTATTTTTATCGATCTTATTCACGAGTTCAAAATTGAACACGAATCGAGCTTTTTATCGAGCTTAATGTCGAGCTTGTTCACGAACTTCAAATGATGTTGTTCGCGAACATAAATGAGCCGAACGCATTAGTGTTCAACTTTGTTTATTTAAGAATCGAGTATTTAAAATATTGTTCAAGATTGTTTGTTTAGTTAATTAAACGAACGCAAACGAGCTTTAATCGAACCGAACATCGAGTAGCTCGTCGAACGTTTGGTTCGCTTGCAGCCCTATCTACCATTGACATAAGAAGGGTCCTTGTTTAGGCAATACCTCAAAAGTCTTCTCAGTGTAGAAAAACTCAGAGGATACTGAAAGATCGGGGAGTGTGAGGTAGCACAGTTTGCTCACCCTTTTCATATTGTGAAGAAGGAGACTTATAAACCTTAGCTTGGATGGCATAATTATAATGTTTTTTATCATAAATTTTGCTTTTGTTGATCTATTTTTGTAATGCCCCATCTTTTGGGGTGCATTAAGGGTCCAAGTCTCTATTATAATGGATTCCAAGGGTTATTTACATGTGGATAGAGAAACCCCTAAAGAAAATAACCTCATTAGTTGACTCAACAAAGGTGATTAGGGAATGGTCATTTGCAAATCACGTTCAAAATTGAAATTAATATCTGATCAATAGTCATTGGACTCATCATCCTATCAAAAGATTCTCAGAGCCAGTAAGGTATAACTGAATGTTATAATTAAGAATCAAATAAACTAGCATGATAGGAATATTTGAGGACACACTGAGCTAAATTTACTTGAATTCAACTTAGTATTATCCCTAATCTACCCAAAATTCTATTTGAATTTTAAAAACTTTATGACAAAAGAAAGTCTAATATTAAAATTTGTATTAACATATCTATTAGAGTTCTTCCTATTTGACAAAAGATGATGATAAATGGCCTTTTCAAAAGAAACAAAGTTGAGGAGGAACCAATGATTAATACCTTTCAAGAAAAAAATATATATTAAATGCAAAAAATATCCAAAAAGCCATGCACCAAACCCCTAGAGGAAATTTTTATCAATAGTAAGCTTTAGGAGGCTTGCAATGGTATATATATAGATAATGAGTCAGGACGACTTAGGCTTTGCTTGGGACGGCTTTCTTACTACTTCTTAAAACAGTTTTCTAGTACAAAATTTTTAATTTTTTTATTTAAAAACAATAAGAAAGCAATCGCAAACGAAGCCTTAAGTTTCATTACTGTTTTCTAAAGCAGCTTTTCAATACAATTGTTTTTAATATTAATGAAAAATAGTGGCTAAAAGTTTTCCCAAACAAAGCCTTCGATGGAGATAAAAAATAAGATGACAAATAGGGTCTCAAAGCCAATTACCGAAGTATTTTGTTCAATTAAACAATAAAAAAAATACTAATATATAATAAATTTGCTTGTTGAGATGTATTGATCTCTACTTAAGTCAACTTTGTTATGAACCGTTAGCTTATTTATATATTCTCATATATCTTTTAAATAAAGAAGAATAAAGAATATCTCAATATCCCAACCTATATTCTAATCTAATTTCATTTCAGCTCTATCTGGAGCGAATCAGCTACCCGATAAAGTTTGAACAGTGGAAGTATATCCTTCACATGTGTGGTTGCCTCTTATCTACATCACTGTTTTCAAATATCTTTTTGAAACCTATTATATATTGAATGTGAGGGGCATAAATATCTGAAAGCTATTGCTAAAAGTTTTAGATAGAGAGTGCAAACATACATATTTCATGCCTCTGGTTAGGGTTTCCAATTTTTAATTTTATTTTTACTTTACTTTTATTATATTAATTTGGAGTAATTTCTAATCTTTGCGGGGGAAAGGAAGAGTGAAGCTTATCTGTTAATGACAATTATATTTAGGGGTGTTGAAAATGTGGTTATTTCTAGGAAATTAAATACATACGTGTTTGGATACTAAAATAATAATATCCATGTCACAGAACCAAGGTCGACCAAATACTATGCCAAAAAATTACGTCAACATAACGTTGCAACATATTTCATTAGAGCGGTTGTCAAGTTGTTGATGGCTAGGCAATCCTGATTGAAAAAGGGGTGAGGATGGCCCTCAAGTTTAAAGTTATGCCATTGTAAAATTGCTTTGAGCACTACTTTCATTGTGCTACCTCCGTTAATAACTAACACCATTTGCCTTTGAAGATTCTCTTAGCATAGAATACTCAAAAAGCATTTCTCTACTCCAACCATTCAACTTTAATGCAAAAAGTTATATTCTCTTATACGTGCATTCTTTTTTTATAATATATCATGGATACTAAACCTATTACAACTAAGAGTCAGTTGATATTTCAACAACATTACATGATAATTACCAATTCCATATCTACTAAAACTACATATCTTTCACAAATTCTTGTTTTATTAATATTAAGCCCCTCATCTTCTAAATAATTCCTCCATTGATTTAATTTTTAATTTGCTTCAAAAAATACTCTCCCCTATCATAAAGATTGACTAAGCTTATATGGTACCGCATGAATTACTATAGATGGACAAGTGACAACTGAAAAACCAACCAAGCTAAAAAAAAGCAAAAGTTTAGTTTCATTTGGTCAGATTAAAATAAAAGTTTAGTTTTTTTATTAGAAAATTGCATGCATTTCCGTACAATATAAGAGCAGTTCCACAAAGGTTCACATTTTCTTAAGAAGCTGCATTTTAGTCCAAAGCGCCTATCAATGCTATAAATGTCCTTGAGATGAAATATTAGTCTACATGAGCACTTTTTGGCTTTAGAAATTATAGTTTCCATTGTTTTGGATTAAGCGAATTGCCGCAGACTTACACAAAAATCTCTACCATACTCAATAATTTTCATTTTTCACATTGTCCTAGCCAAAGATTCTGAGGCACGCAGCATTTGCTAACCATACAACACCATGGAAAATTTTGTAGGACATGCCCACAAGATCCATCCCTCTATGGACTTTTACTTAGCCCAAACAATTCATCTCTTAGAAGCTTATTATCAAACTTTTTGCTAAAAGCTCCTCTCATAAATAAGGGTAAGCATATTTTTTCAGCAATTAATAAATATAGCATTTTATTGCTTCCAATGGTTGTCTTAAAACATGACTTATCATTGTAATTAACTACTTATGTCGTATACAGCAACATACTCACCTACTCTAATGCGGACATCCGACAGTGGACGATATTCAAAGGAAGAGTCGAAGATCAACGGTCGAGATCACTCCATTTTATTTTAGTTTATTAATTGTATTTTGATTTAATTTTGCATTTTCCTTTTCTTTTTATCCTTTTTATTCAAGAGTCTTGTCTTATGTAAGCTCAATGGGCAAATTTGTCTTTAGTTTCTTTTGAGGCCTATATATAGATACCTCTTCTCTTGTATTAGGTATGGAGTTTTAATAAAATTTTGTTTTGCGCTTTTATTCTTTAGGAGGAAGTTAATGAGAATTCCTATGAAGGGAATCATAGTTTCCACCAGACGCAGGATGGGCCCGGGCTCGTGGCTTGAAGTCCTTTGGTGAAGGGCAACGCATCACCCATCAGTCTTTGGAAGAGTCCAAGGCTCGTGGTTCTATCTTTTTTTTTCTTTTTCTTTGTTTTGTTTTTCCTTATTTCCTAAACCGCCGCCTCCTAAAACCCTCCACCAAGGCGCCGATCTTCTCACCCCATCACCTCCACACCATCGGCCTACACCTGCCCCTCCCTTCCTCCTCCCTCCCCTTGTCCAAAATCCAACAAGGCTCCACCCACTCGCCGGCCACCTCTTTGCCTAGTATCACTTCCCTCCAAAACTCCTCTTTCCTTATTTAGGATGTTATTAATTTAGAAAGATTTCAAATTCGAATTAATCTAATTTGAATTTCAAATCCACCCTCATTAGTTACATTAATTTTAGGAAAATTCTTTATTTAATTAATTAATCAATTCTGAAATTAATTAATTAATTAATCTCATACCCAAATTTCAAATATTTTTCTAATTATTACATCTATTTTAGGAAGCATCCTCAATTGATGCAAATCTGAAATTAATTCAGATTTGAAGTTATCAATCAACATTCGATGCAGATATCCACATACGTTGAATGTGGCCGCTCCCCTCTTCCCTCCATTGGCCGGCCCACCTTCCCTCCCCTTCTCTAATTATTTATTCCCTAATTTACGGCCTAAGATTAGGGAATATTAATTACCTCTTCCCTCCTTTATTCTTCTTGCTTGAAATTCGAAATTATTAAATCTCTCCCACCAAAATCTGCAATTAATTTAAGATTTTGAAATTATCTCCCCCACCTTCTCCCGTGCTTCATCATACTCCCTCCGCATTATCTATTTATATACTTAGAACTAACAACTAGATCACATAAGCAACACTCTTTCAAACTAGTTTTCCAGTCACCTAAAAATCATGCTACTACGCACATAAAATTCATGTTTTATGCATCCACAACAAATTTATGATCAGTTAAAAATATATTAAAATTAAAAGTATTAAAGAATTGTCACTCTACCAAAGTACACATATAACCATGTCAAGTATTAAAATTCTCTCATTAAATATTGCCTATCAACACATGCAATTTCTTTTTGGAGCATAAAACTTAATTATTATGCAGAACTCTCATATCTTCAAAACTATAAAAAAAAAGGATTTAAGCAATGTTGATCTGCAAAACACTTGCATACCATTCTTTCCCTTTGTCTCTTCTTCTCAGAACTAACAGATATGTCCACAATTACGCCTTGGGAAACATCACGTTCTATCTTCTTGCGCCATACAAAGCTGTTTACAAGTAAGAATAGGAATGACAGTAAGAAACAGAAAACAAAAAAGAAAGTTAATCAAGATGTGTGTGGATGAAACAATGAAGAATTTAACATCTTGGTGCAGCCAGCCAATGAGAATCAGCAAAGCCACACATGTCAAATGGTAATTAGGGCATTTAAATAGTACGAGGACATAAAAACCACATCAATATGTCTATCAAATATTAGCAACACACCAACACAAGCATAGCACCACATTCAAAAAAAGTTCAACCAGCTATTTATAGGCAGTCATTAAAAAAACTACAATATTTTAGAAAACTTACGCGCCTATATTGCATGTGACAGGAAACGTTTAATTTAGGCATTATTATGGACTCCAAGAACTAGAAAAGCACTACATTCCAAAAATAAATTTAACAAACTATTAATAAGAACTTGTCAGGTCCCAAGTCTTGGATTAGAAAAATGAAGGGCTGCGTTAGGTAGTCGACAACCAGCGTAAAACTTGTCGAATAATAATAACATGAATTCTTTAAGAAATTATGTTAATGCTAAGGCGTCCCCTGAAAGCGACGCGCTGTATGGCTTGAATACAGTGACAAGTGTCAAGGGCCGCTGCATCGGCCACAGGTGTAGTGTTAAATAGACAAAGGTTCCCATATCAAGGACGGATGTGGGCAAAGAAGCTAATCCATGAAACTAAAAAACATGAAACTAAAATTAGGATAGGAATTTGAAATATATGTTCATTTACAGAAAAATTAATGAAATTAATAGATATTATGATTCATAGGAAGTTAAATATTTTGTGCATTCAGGAAACTAAATGGGTTGGAGAGAGAGCTAAGGAAATTGATAGTTTAGAATTTAAACTTTGGTATTCGGGTAGGAGTCGTACTATAAATGATGTAGGTGTTATTATAAATAAGAGTTTGAAGGATAATGTTATAAAAATTAATAGGATTAGAGATAGAATTACAGCTTTAAAGATGGTTGTTGATGCTAAGATTGTTAATATTTAAGTGCTTATACTCCTTAAGTAGGTTTGGATATGAGTTCTAAATTAAATTTTTAGAATGACTTAGAATAATTAATACAAAAGATATCTCTTGAAGAAAGAGTTTTTATTGAAAGATATTTAAATGGACATGTTGGTAGAGAGGTAGATGATTTTAAAAGCATTTATGGGGGTTATGGGATTGGAACGACAAATAACAGTGGCAAGACCATATTAAATTTTTGTTTAGCTTATGATTTTTTAATTGCTAATACTTTATTTAAGAAAAGCAATAAGCATCTCATCACTTATAAAAATTGATATACTACAACTCAGATTGACTATTTTCTTATAAGAAAATTAGATCGTTTAGATTGCAAATATTATAAAGTTATTTCGAGTGAAAATTTATGTACCCAACATTGATTATTAGTTTTAAACTTTAAGATAAAATGACAAAAAATAAAAAATAAAGTAAAACGATATTCTAGGATTAGATGGGAGCATTTCAAGAATATTAACAAAAATATTTTTGAGAGTAAGATTTTAGATCTTAAGAATTGATATGTGCATGAGAATGCTAATGTTATGTGGGAAAAAATGGCTAGTGATATTACGAATATTGCAAAAGATGTGCTCGGGGTTGCAAAAGTAAAAGCTCCTAATAGTAAAAAAAAGTTGGTAGTGAAATCCAAATGGGCAAGAAAAGATTAAAAATAAGAAAAATTGTTAAAAAAATGGATTAATTTTAAAAATTCTGATAATTGGGAAATATATAAAGAGGTTCGTAAGGAATCTAAAAAAGTAATATGCGATGCAAAGACCTTAGCTTTTAGTGATTTATATAATAGATTAGATACAAATGAGGGAGAAATATATATGTATAAGTTAGCCAAACAAAGAGATATGAATAGTAAAGATTTAGTTCAAGTGAAGTGTATTAAAGATGAAGATTAAAAAATACTTTTCTTAGAATATGCTATTCAACAAAGGTGGATGTGATATTTTGCTAAACTTTTTAATGAAGATTGTGAAAATAAGATTGATTGTAGTGACCTTACCAACCTAAATGAAAATATATATTTCTATTTTTATCGGCGTATTAATAAAACTGAAGTTAGAGAGGCTTTAAAGAAAATGAATGGTGAAAAAGCTGTTGGACCTGATGATATTCCAATAGAGGTGTGGAAATGCTTAAGAGATGAAGAAATTTCTTAGCTTACTAAACTTTTTAATACTATTTTGAAGACTAAAAAGATGTCAGACGAGATGAGAATGAGAGTGTTAATTTCTATTTTTAAGAATAAAGGTGATGCACAATATTGTGCAAATTATAGAGGAATTAAGTTAATGTGTCATACTTTAAAATTATGGGAGCGAGTTATGGAACATAGGTTGCGGCGTGATACTAATATTTCTGAAAATCAATTTAGATTCATGCCGGGTAGGTCGATTATGGAAGTCATACATTTATTAAGAAATTTGATGGAGAAATATAGATAAAATAAGGAGGATCTATATATGATATTTATTGATTTAGAAATCACATCTGATAAAGTTTCAAGAGAAGTGCTATGGAGAGTTCTTGAAAAGAAAGGAGTCACATGCCAAGAGCTAATTACTTGTATTCAAACACAAGTGGTTTGACCAAGTATTTACCTATTTCGATTGGGTACATCAAGGATCAACCTTAAGCCATATCTTTTTTGTTAGTCATGGATGTTCTCATTAGACATTTGCAAGAGGATGTACCTTGGTGCATGCTTTTTGCTGATGATATTCTTCTTGTTGATAAGACTAGAGAGGGAGTTGAAGGTAAACTTGAATTATGGGGGTCAACCTTATAGTCTAAAGGTTTTCACTTAAGTAGATCATAAACGGAATATATGGAGTATAATTTTAGTAGTAATAGACCAAGTGAGGGGTTTGTGACTTTGGCGATCAAGTCAATAATAAGAGTACAGCGTTTTAGATATTCTTGAAAATCTATTGTTCAGAATGATGGTGAAATAGATGAGGATTTATCAAGCAGAATTCAAGTTGGAATGGTTGAAGTGGAGGAAGCATCGGGCTTGTTGTGTGATAGAAAGTTACACCTCAAACTCAAAGGAAAATTCTATGAGAATGGGTGGGTGAGGCCTACAATGGCTTTATGGGGCGAATGCTTACGGCCTGCAATGCTTTATGGTGCTGAATGTTGGTCATTAAAAGAGAAGCATAATACTAAGTTAAGTGTGACAGAGATGAGGATGCTCAGGTGGATGAGTGGCTTTACCCTTAGAAATAGGATACGAAATGAGCATATACGTGAAAAGGTTGGAGTAGCACCAGTAGAAGATAAGATTAGACAGAGTGGCCTTAGATGGTTTCGTCACATAAAACGGCAACCTTCCGATGACCCGATTAGGAGAGTAGAGGTGTTAGATTTGACTTATGTTAAAAAAGGTAGAGGCAGACCTAAAATGACTTGGTTAGAAAATATTAGGAATGACCTTTCTTTATTAGATTTAAACGAGAATTTGACTTTTAATATGACACAATGGAGAAAAAGGATTCATATAGCGGTATAGCCGACCCCACGTACTGGGATAAAGGCTTGATGTTGATGTTTTTTGAAACTATTAATAAGAACTAACATTAAAAAAATAAAAAATACTTTATTTTGAACTGAATAGACCACCAATATTACATATTAATACATAAAGCTTAATTAAAGCAATATCATAAAATCCATTGCTGAACAAAAATTGTGATAATGACTGTTTAAGAATTGATTTCGGAAAGAAATACAATATAGCGTAAAACAGTTTATTCAATCACTGTTAAATATAAAGAAGTTTAACTTACTTTTCAGTAAGATTTGAATCCCCAAACGGATTTGAATCATTTGAGTAACCAGAGACCACTTGAGACTTAAGCTTCTTGGCCACTTTTATAGCCTTCAAAAAAAAAAATTGTGAAGGTACAATTTTGAATAGCTGAAAAAAACATAATGAATAAGTATAAAAAGATAAGATAGCATAACCAGAACAAAAATTAAGTACCTTCTTTTGGGCTTTCTTCGCCATATAATCCACGATTTCTTCTTCTGTGATTTCTCTTGATTTTTTGCCCTTTTTGTGGTGATCATCTGATCCGAAATCAGACCCAGTATCACTTTGAGATGAGTCCACACGACCACGTCTTCCATGACCTCTCCTAGAGTTTTTGAGGTCACTTCGCCCGGATGAATAATCCCTTTGACTCTTGGCATATAATTCCGACCGGTGGCGGCCATGTCGGTGGTTCATATCCTCTCTAGATGGTGAACAGTCGAATCCCGATCCCACTTTTCACTGTTTCTCTAGGGGACTGCTAGGTAGCAGGATTTAAAGCCTGGATTTACTAAATCCCGGGATTTAATAAGGTATTTAGATGAATATAAAGAAAACCCGATGAAAGCTCCCGTGGCAGCATCCTCGCTTTTTTTTTCGTCTAGGGTTAGGAGCGGAAGGGAAAGAAAGGCGAAAGACGACGGTTCGGTTAATGTGGAACTTTTATTTCGTCCGGGGTGAACGTACGCAACTCTTGGGCCACAAGTGGAATCATGTCACGCATTTTTATTATTTATCGCGCGCCTCGATAATCCGATCCAGAACGAACTCAAGATTGCTTGGTATTACTCTGTATTGCTAAGTATTGATCGATTTTGCTCGGCAATAATCAATACCGAGCAATACCGAGCAAATACCTAGTAATACCGAGCAAATACCGAGTTATACCGAGTTTTTTCTAGCAATACCGAGCAATTACCTAGCAATACAGAGCAAATCCCTAGTAATACCGAGCAAATCCTGAGCAAATACTGAGTTGTACCGAGTTGTAAAAAAAACTCGGTACAACTCGGTATTTGCATGGTATTGATCTTCACAGAGCGGTATTTCTCATTTTTGCAAAGTAATACCTAGCAAATACCGAGCAATACCGAGAAAATCGCGAACATAGCATTCCCGGGTTTCGCTCCGGGTCAAGTCGTCGGGCCGCGCGGTAAAAAGTAAGAGCGCGGGGCGACATGTTATTGGCGGCCGAACGTAGCTCTACGTCCGGTCAGAGGACGTAATAATTGTTCGTTAATGTGGCGGTCAGAATTTGTTTGGGATTTAATATTTTTCTAAGAAAAAGTTGGATTTAATGTATAAACAATTAACATTAGAAAACTTTAAAATATATTTAAGAATTTTGAGTCTATTTTGATAGTTTTTTTAGGATTTGTCTAATAATTTTTTTTCCAAATTTATTGTCATTATCAAATTAATGTTGGTAGTTGATATTGATTAATTAAAAAAGAATAAACTAAATAATTTAATATTATTTCTGATTTAGTTTGATTAAATAAAAACTCTTATGTTTAATTAGATGTATAATTCTTAGTTACTAATTAATTGAAGTATTATATTATACTAACTATAATTAAATTAATGTAATTATAATTAATAAAACAATCAGCTTTAATGATTAATATTAATAAGTTAAGAATATTTAAATTAATATTGGTTTTTTCATTTGAGTATTTATAAACTATTTTTAAATTAATTATTAAATTCTTAATTAATGATTAATTGAGAAGTTATCATATGCTAGTCATGATTTAGTTCTTATAATTAAGATTGATAGAATCTAATTTAATTAACTAAACATTCAAAATATATGAATCTTCCAATTCTAAAATAAGCAGCCAAATATTTTACTTTGATTTAATACTTATTAAACCAAATAATTTTCAGTTCTTCACCAGTAGAGGATTTATTAAATCCTACTTGAGTTAGATCATAAGCGGATGAGTGATAGCCAAATTTAAGTTGGATGTATTGTAAATATTGTCAAACGATCAAAAGTGGTAAAATAAATTCATAAGATTTTTCAATCACATTTTGCTTCAATTTAAGCTTAAATCTCAAATTTATTAGATGTAATAGGTCGTTTAATTTAAGATACTTAGATGAAGAGAAGAGCATGGAAGTGGGGAGAAAGATGACAAGTCCCCTTCTAAATTTCTCGCTTCTTTTTTCATCAATGTCATTATGAAGGTACAAAAGGGAGTAAGAAAGTTGAGGTTTTAATATCCATTGTAGCTTCATCACAATTTTTTTTAATTATTTTTATTATTAAGGGTTTTGGGATTTTGTATAGGAGAGAGAGGTGACAAACATAAGAGGTAAGGGTGGGGGATGAGTTGTTTTACAATAACAGCAACAAGCATTTATCCCATTATGCGGGATCAGCTACATTCAGAAGAAAAAAATTATTAAGATTATCACTATAAATAGTTATAATTGATATGTCTTCAAAAAATTATCCTGATCGGACAGGAATCTCGAGGCAAAAAATCAAGTTGGAATCTTCAAAAATTAAATCTAGGACCATCTAAACTCTGATTTCAGCAAACTTACAGTTGAACTGAGCGTCTCGAAAATGTGAACCCAACGACACCAAATACATCTCAATCCGAGCTAAAAATGGTTCAAATTGAAGACCCTAAGCGCATTCAGAAGGTTCAATCCATAATTTGGATTAACAAACAGTTTTCAAATATGACATGCTTATAGTCAAATCGAGCAGCTCGACGAGACGAATCCAAAGAGCCTAAGATCGCCAAATATTGATATCATTAAGACCTTCAAATATCTAACAAATGGTCCTCGATCAAGGGATTCAATATCGATCGTCCATCTGAGCCACACCACATTTGCCGTTGATCCTCTTCCTATTTACGGGTCATGTCATCCTAAAAAAATTATAAATAGCCCCTTATTTCTCTTAAGAGGGGATCTAAGCAAGAAAAGGAGAGAAGAAGGAGATGAGAAGGGAAGGAGGGAAGAAACTCCTTGACCACCGTCGGGATTTCTGTCTGATCTCCAAGGGACGCCGGAACTCTGCTCAACTTCCATGGGATGTCGGAATTCTGCCCGACTTCCAAGTGACACCGAAATTCTGCCCGACTTCCAGGGGACGCCATAACTCTACCCGACTTCCACGGGACGCCCGAATTTCGTTTGACTTCCAAGTGACGTTGGAATTCTGCCCGACTTCCAAGGGACGCCGGAACTCTGCCCGACTTCTACGGGACGTCAGAATTCCGCCCGACTTCCACGGGACGCCGGAATTCCGCCCGACTTCCACGGGACGCCGGAATTCCGCCCGACTTCCAAGTGACACCGAGTTCTCCCTGGTCGCCGAAAAACGTCGAATTTCTACCCGATACCGGACCTCCACTCATCGCCAGATTTCTACCCGACGTCAGACTTCTGCCCTTTGTCGGATTTTCGCCAAATATCTATCTGATGATGTATTTCTGTTCATTGCTAGCCTTCTACCTGACATAATCCTTTCAACCTCTATAGCTAGAAAACGGTCTTTATGACCTCCGTTGCCTGCCGACTATAGTCCTTTTGAATCTCGTCGCCCACCAACTACAGTCCTTCCGACCTCTGTCACCCGCCAACTACGGTCCTGCCGACTTACGTCGCCCACCAACTACGATCCTACTGACCTCCGTCGCCCAACGACTACGGTCCTTCTAACTTACGTCACCCATCAACTATGATCCTTTCGACCAAACGAACACGTCAACAGTGACACTTTGTATTTCCATCATTTACTTCATATAATGTACATCAAGCTAAGGCCTTCCCCCTAAGGAAGGGCCTCATTTGTAATCGATTGCAAATAATAGTGGATTCATTGAAACTGGGCTAGGCCCCGTGATTTTTCCCCTTTTTCAGGGGTTTTCACGTAAAAATCTTGGTATCTTTAGTGAATGATGTACCCTCTCTTTTATTTGTGTGTGTGATGGATCTTCATACAACTCTAAGACATTAAATATTATAGTTATATATCGCCACGAATACTCCAAGACGCAACAATAGTCATTAATGTTTACTTGCATCTGAGAAAATGTTTTTCAATATAAAAGACATTATTGAGAAAACAACTTAAATAAAATTAAAATTACAATATTAATATAAAATATAATATTGACACAAAATAAAAATAAGATATATATATTGCATTTTTGCATGGAGATAAACATATCATGACATAGCAATGTAGAATATAAAATGATTAAAAATGATCAATTTTCAAAGTAAATATATTCATTACAGAATAAGAGCAATATTAAATCATGGTCTTATGTCTTGAATTCAATAAATTAGAAGCTAAAGAAGGAAAAGAGCGAGTAAAAAATATAAAACATATGAAATAAAAAATAAAATATATATTGACATATTTAAGTGGAAAAATTAAATACAAAAAAAAATAAATACAAATAATAATTTATACAAATTCATGTATAACTACAAGTAGAAGAGAAATTGTTGAAAGATTAGACCATAAATAATTAACTAAATCTCTTTTTCACTACCAGCATGTGAAATCGAAAGAATACAAAGAAACTTGTTTTGTGACTACTCTTTCAAAGAATTTCATTGAAGCATGTGAAATCGACTTGGACAAAGTTGTAAAAGAATGCAACTTTCAAGTTCCCATCATGACTCACAATCTTGTATCATGACGAACTTGTTACCTTCCAAATTAACATATAAAAAGTCTTATTATTGATTCATTATTTAAATCCATTGACTTTGCTTGCTTCCAAAGGATTGAAGAGAGAAATAAATGGCTCAATATCAACGTTTAATCCAAAATTATTTTCATCATATTAAATTCAACGAAGATCACAAAAAAAAATGAAAGAAAAAGTCTAGATAATGCAAATGTACGTAATTTTTAATGGTATGATGGAGAGTTGTGTCTATCTGAAACTCAAATAATAAATTTATTGAGTTTGTTTAACATACTTTAACATATAGTTATACACTTGCTACATCCATAAGAAGACAATCACAAAAAATGTAAAGCAACTATAGTAGGTAGACACAAATCCAAAACATGTGATATAATTCAAGTAATGGATCAATATTATTCAAAAATAATTATTTTTAGCATCCATTAAAGAAAAATGATTTATTAATAATTAACCTACTTTTTAAAGTAGGCGCTTAGCTAATGAATGAACATCAAACTTTTGGTATACTTTGATATCAGGTATACATCCTATAGATAAACCATAATTAGCAACAAATGACACAAAAAAAATTGCATTCACACCTTTACTAAATGTACCGACTGCTTCAGTTCCTATAAAACATAGTAAAACTGCTACTCATTTACAAATGTACATTGAATTTCTAGGAATATAAGGTGATCAAATATCATATTTGACATCAATAATAAAAATATTGCGAAGTTGATGAGCATACACTGATAAAGCATTTTATTTCAATAAAATAAAAGTCACCATCCTCAATGACTATTAAATTCAAAATTATGAAAAAATATTGGAAGATGGATGGATCAATTATGAATATTCTCAAATATAAAAGACTCAGAGCAGTAGACACTCAATAAGACTTGCTCTCATCCTTTCATAAATAAAAAACAATAAAAATGTTTTCATAAACAATAAACTCTACTATAATAGTTCAATCACAATTAACA